CAGTCCTTACAACAGTGGTATCTTAAGAGTTTCATCGAAACCCGGCTACTACTCGTATACAAAATACAGCATCGTAAGACCTATTCCTATCATTTTGGGAAGAGCTCTTTAATCAGTCCTTAAATCACTTTAGGCGACCTACAATGATTAAGCTCTTGTTTAAGAAATAATAATAGTTGCGAAGCAGTTAATAGTATAACCTACATAAGAGCTTTATTAACTCCAAATACTTACGGATAGAAACGCAATGTGAAATAAAATGGAAATGTGAGGCCTACTCGTATAATTGTGAGAAAAATCAACTATCGGTCCTTCAGCTCACTATGTAAAATTTACAGCAAATGTAGTCCAATTCATTTGTTGTTTCCTTTGGGCAACAGCTTACTTGCCCTCCCCTAACAACTAATCCCCCGCAGCCCTTTGAGAGGGTGCTTCTTAGACGAGAAGCGAACCAAATAGTGTCCGTCGCTTCCACTCAGTGGCAGCAGCAGAGGTCGGTAGAGCGAAGAAAAGGGAAGCAGCATTTGCGACGCCATGGAATAGCACAGGAGGAGGATAAGAGTAGAGAAGACATTAGTGGACCAGATCAATTCAGTGATCTACTGATGACACAACAACAACAAATAAGTGATGTAAATGCTGACTTCAATTCTTGGTTAGAAAGCTATTCGATTGCATACGAGTCTAGTGCCTACGCGTCGAGCGGGGAGCATGCTTCAAGCCTGAGGGAGGGTGTAGATCCGGCGAGGAGTCCACTTTCTCTACTGGAAGCCTCAGGCACTGTGCCTGCCGATACCCCCAAAGGAGATGACGAGACCGGCAGATCCGCCCAGCCAGACACAGCCTCTGGAGGCACTAAAGCAGGAGAGTTTGGCCGACGATATTCGTCGACTCGCCGGGAGGAGGCAGTTCACCCGCTCGGCTTCTGAAACAACACCAGAATTATGTCGGACCTTGCGGCTTGCGATAGCGCTGGCTCCCAGCATCCGAGAGCCTGCTGGAGCCGAGTGTCGGCCAAACGCGCCCAACCACGAGGGTCTAGCAGAGGTGGGGAGCCTTGCCAAACCATTACTTGACCGGGTTACCAAGTGCTTTGCTCCAGACTGACGGAGTAGACGAGGTCAGTGTTCAATAAGTCTTGAGCAAAAAAGGACAATATGATTAAAAAAAATGAAGAATAGTACCTCGAAGCAAAAAGAGAGGGGAGAGAAATGATGCTAAAGACTTTTTTACCCAACGAATTCTCAGCAATTATCATAATTCTGCGTGCATTAGTATTAATGAGACTGAACACAGGGGATATTTAGTTGACATTTTTGTCTAAGCATCCATCACTCCGTCTTATCATGTTTCTTCTCATTTCCTTGACGTCTGACTGCCTCTATAGCCGCCGTGTATTTATTCACCTATTTTCCCATGACCTGGAAAAAAGCTGTACCAGCTTCTACCGTCACATTTGTTTAAGAGCAAAAAGGTGGAATGTATTTGCGCCGGTATTTGCTGACCAAAAATGGAGAGCTAATTGCTTCTTTGCCCATAAATTCACTTGATCTATTTTATACTTGTACTCTAATAACATTTTATGCTGCTCTTCTTCAGAGTTGTATAGGAAACCTTAATTGCGTTAATGTTTTTAGTAGAGATAGCGTTGAGATCTCCATAGTGAATAAACGCTTTTTAGAGATAATGTTTACCGTGTAGTTCTTTAGCTGCCAGTGTGATCATGGTGAGTTTCAATTAATCTCTCTTTGTTACATTGTTATGAAAACTTTCATTCCCTATGAAAGTGCCTAATAAAGAGATTCTTAGGTCGATCTCATCGGAAGACGACAGTAGCCCGTCATTTTATGCAGGCCACGAAACGTCCTCCCTTATCACTCAATATTGACTTGAAGATTTTTTAAGACAGCTCCATTTGTGAAGTTGCCTGTCCGGTGACTTCACCAAAAATGAGAGAGAATGCATTGTAGACTGAGTCAGTCTTACCCCTTGGTAAAGCCAAATGGACTCAGGGGGGACTTCTGGTTGGATCAAGCTAGGTTATGACTTTCAACCAAAATGAAAGTCTCCATAATTATTTGATTTGCTCCTATGTTATTCCGAAGTATCATAAGCGTATTCCAAAGTATTCCGAAGTGTAGTAGGCGAAGATGCTATCAACACAGAATTTATCAATGGGGAATTCGTGAGGTGGTATGCCGAGTAATCTATGCCCAACCGTGTAATCAGTTTTTATGCTAGGTATTGTTTCAGCTAAATCTCCTGTGAATGGTGGAGGGTATCACGAGTGGAGGAGCAGGCATATCTAGATGGAAGCATAAGAAGGGAAATTACGGAATGCGGCTTCCACCTAAGGGGATTTATGTGGGTTCAAGGGTCGCTGGGAGCCGAGTGGACAAGGCAGAGGAGGGAACTGAAATCTGCGTCGAATAGGCCAAGAAGGTTAAATGATTAAGTAAAAGGTTTGTAGGATGATTACAAATGTTTGCACGACTCGAATAGCACATAAGTGCTAGAAATGCAGAGTGCGAACTAAAGGATACTAAGAAATAGATACAGAGATCTAGACGAGGTGAAATTGGCTTCCCCACTGTATGCTAGGACATTCGCTGTTTTGCCCGGAATCTATTTGTTGTTGAACTCGGTAGCATACTGGAAGGATGTTGTAGGCTCGCACACAAAGCATAAGATAATTTTTGAACTGCATTAGGAAATTGGAAGAAATAGTGCCGATATCGTGCATACTTTTGATTCGTATGTTCTAAGAAGAGGCGGAGAAAAAGTGCCTATTTCAAACTAACAGTGCAGCGTGTCACCCGGAAAGTTCACTGCAGAAGAAACTCGAATTCAAATGTTCAGGAATATATAGTGTACATTTTAGTGAGTGCTTCCAAGCTGGAGCTTCGGAACTCCAGAAGCCAGTAAGTTTTCGTGGATGAACAGTGCAATCTAGTGGTTGCTTATTAATAATTATTCCTATATACCCCATAATATCAACTCACATAGAAAGCTTTACTACAAAATTGTTTAATTGTAAACTAAGGAGAAGAATATCAGTCTGAGGGTAGATGAGCTGGCGGTTTACATGTAGGCTATCGATACACTTCAACATTCCCTCTGGCTTAAAAAAAATAGTTGACCTTATAGGCGATGCAAATGGCACCCTGGTCCCTCTATCCATTTCTTACCCTCTAGTCCCACCCTCTTCCTATCACAAATTCTGACAGGTTTATATTTCACAAGAGATGTGTCCTTTTGGCGAATTTACCGTGACGTCATCATGCCTGCTATTTGCCTTGCTCCCCTCCCTTTCGAGTAGCTGATTCTACTCTAGTCTCCTGACAGGATCTGCCTTATTGGCCCGTAGGTCTGTTTCTTATCTTTCTGGTTGGCCAATTTCACTCAATTCCAGCCCCAGACTACTTTTATTCGAGCTGCTATTTCTCAAGCATTTAGTAGCACGTACAAAGTCGCCTTATCTTCAGATCGCCTAGGCTACGATTCCCATGCCTGCGAATATTAGGCATTACCTTCGCGCATCATCTCCTAGATTAAGTCCGTGTACCTTGAGCAAACTGTGGACATCTAGCTCTGGTTGCCTGCTGCATCTAAAGTGGATTATTTGCCTATTTGGTCACAATGCTCGATTTCTGTGACCCAATCCCTCTTCCTAGTCACGTAAAACGTCAAGACCCCAAGTTTTAGTTGTTTGTTCGAGCTTACTTATCTCATCGAAAACGTCTTCGCTTCATTCCCAAAACTTCTTCACGCTCTTTTTCATTGCGATCACTTTTCCTCTGGTTTAGGCTAGATCCTTGATCCAGGCGTCTCCGTTTTGCGTGTCTTTTTGCATCCCTATTTTCTCCGAGTTTGAGGCAAATTTATCACTAACTCTGTCTTACTCCAATCCCCTGTTCATTATATTTTTTCCCCCAAGTATGTCAATGGCCTCCCTAATCTTCAGTTTACTTGTGTTTTCACCGTATGAGGTCCTTCTTTCAAATAAAAATCAAGGAACATCAAAGACTCTTAGGAAAATGGATACTGAAAGATCAGATATAGCGAAACACATCGCAGGGACTGAACACGAGATCAATTGGAAGGCAACAGAAAGAAGGGCCTCATACGGTGAAAACACAAGGATGCGAAAAATTAGGAAGGCCATTGACATCCTTGGGAAGAAAAACCTAGTGAATAGGAGATTGGAGGAAGGTAGAGTTAGCGATAATTTTGCCCACTGCTTAAGCAAACTCGGGGAAAACATGAATAGAGCAAGACCAGGAAAAAGGAAATGCCTGGATGAGGGATCTATTGCTAACCAATCGCGATGAGAAAAGTGAGGGGCGGGGAGATTCGTCAATCAAGTGAAGATGCTGTCAGTGAGTGATGTCCGTTTATAATATAACAGTACAACTTTGGGGGTCTGGCAGTCAGGGAGCTAGGCGGACGGATAAGCAAACCGTCACAGAAATTCGACGTCATGGCCAAAATTCACTATAAATGTACTTGAGATTCAGCATGTGACCAGAGATAGTCGTCCACAGTTTGCTCAGTTTACAGGGGTTTGATCAAATAGACGACCTGTGAAGGCAACACCTGATATCTGCAAACATGGGAATCAGAGTTTGGTCACTCTACTCAGTGAGACGACAGTGTAGGTGCTTCTAGGGCCTTGAGACAGTGCCTGGAGTGAAATGCACACTGGAACTTAAACCGAGTGAAATCGGTCAACCAGAAAGATAAGCAACGGATCTACGGGACCATGAGGGAGATCACAATTGGAGGCCCGAGTCGTACTAGTTGATCGAAAGATAGGCGGTCGGGGTGAATAGGTGTGAGGAGGCCACACTAGATTTGCCACAAAAGGACACACTTTTGACGAGTGGAATGTAAACAAGTGAGAAGTTGTGATAAGATAGTAAAGATTTGGTAGATGGGCCAGGACAGAAAGAGGAGTGATAGTGTAACTGTTTTTTTCAGAACGTTGGTCAAAGGATTTACTTCACTTGTCTCTTTGATGAGTTCGTAACTTGGTGTAGAGAATACGATCACTTACTGATGATGCGACTACAATGCCGGCGAAACGTTTGAGAATGTATCAAGTTCACTATCTGATGCTGCTAAGTATGATA